CATGGAAAATTTCCAGTGTAAATTTGCTGCACAAATATAAAAAGTACTCGACAAAGTCCATGCTCAATAATCCAGGTATGCTTTGTACAATCCAACAATTTTCAGTCAGGTCATCTGGGCAGTTTCTTTTTTGGGGGGCTGAAACATTTCACCTTCCATCCAGAAGGCTTCATCAGTCAAGGAAACTCTTAACACAAAACTGATTCTTCCCCCAACAGCTTACTCCAAAGTGGAACAAACCAGTTTTGTTGGTGCTAAGATGGTTTCTTTGGCACGCCCCCTCCTCCGGTGCCGGCCCTCTTCCTTGTCGACAGTCATGTCAAAATGGTAAAAAACCAACAAAGTCTATGCTCAATAATTCAGGTATACAATCCAACAATTTTCAGTCAGGTCATCTGGACAGTTAGAGCTTACTCAGTTTTGTGTTGTGAATTTCCTTGACTGATGAAGCCTTCTGGATGGAAGTAGAAACGTTTCAGCACAACAACAAAAAAAAAAGAAACTGTCCAGATAACCTGACTGAAAATTGTTGGATAAAAGGTATTCTTGCTTGAAGCAGGTTCTTATAAATGTGAGGATCTCATATTCACCAGTGAAACATTGTCATTTAATTCAATTCAGTTCAATTTATTTATATAACGCCAAGTCACAACAGAGGTCATCTCAGGACACTGAACAGAAACATTCATATACATGAAAAGTAAAAAGTAAATTAACACTATTTATCTGAGGAGCAAACTGCTTTGAATTTAACTTAATTGCAGAACTCACATCTTGAGCAAGCATGAAGGCAACAGTGGAAAGAAAAAACTCCATGAGGAAGAAACCTTTAGCAGAACCAGGCTCAGGACAAACGGTCATCTGCTTCGACTGGCTGGGTTTGAGAGGAACAGATACACAATGGTTGAGAATCACATGTTAAGATAGAAATAGTATCAAATGAAAAATATTCAGTTTTAACAATTTATTTAAATAAATGAGGTCAATTTGTCCTCCAGTTGTCTGTCTATAGCAGCATAAGCCAAGCCTAACTATAGGATTTATCAACAAGGAAAGTCTTAAGTCCAGTCTTAAAACGTGACAATGTGTCAACCTCATGGACAGAAACTGGAAGTTGGTTCCACAAGAGAGGAGCCTGATAACTGAAAGATCTTCCTCCCATTCTGCTTTTGGAAACCTAGGGACTGCAAGTAAGACTGCAGTCTGAGAGCGAAGTGCTCTGTTAGGAAAATATGGAACAATAATATCTGTAATACAATATGAAGCTAGGTTGTTGAGAGCTTTGTAGGTTAGAAGTAAGATTTTGAATTCTTTTCTGAATTTGGCAGGGAGCCAATGTTAACCACCAGCTAATGTTGACCATTGGCTCCGCCTCTACATCCGAAGCAGGCACTGCCTATCAGATTGTATCGGTAGGATGACTGTGTGATGTCATTGGTCTTATCTGTTTCTGATGATGGATAATGGGGTGATGTGCAAATCTAAGTGTTGGAAAGCAAGCAGGCAAAAATGACTCCTTATTGGGTGTTGTAAGTAAAGTAAGTAAGTAAAACTTTATTTATATAGCGCTTCTCAAGATAAAAATCACAAAACGCTTCAACAAATTAGATAAACAAAAGCAAAAAACAAATTCAGGCAAAAGCAGATTTAAAAAGATAAGTTTTTAGCTGACCTTTAAAATAAATCACTGAGTCCACTGATCGGAGAGTTTGAGGAAGAGAGTTCCAGAGTCTTGGAGCCATGGAAGAAAAGGCTCGATCTCCTTTAGTTTTCAATTTTGTCTGGGGGACAGTCAGCAGGCCTTGATCACAGGACCTCAGAGCTCTGATCGGAGTGTAGGGATGTAAAAGTTCTGTTATGTAATTTGGTGTTTGACCATGTAAAGCTCTCCAGGTTAAAACCAAAACCTTAAAATCCATTCGATGTTGAACTGGGAGCCAATGCAGTTGCTTTAAAAGTGGAGTTACATGGGAATACTTTGATATCCAGTCAGGAGTCGAGCCGCAGCACTTTGCACAGACTGCAACCGGTCTAGGGAGGTTTTGGTTAAACATGTATACGGTGCATTACAATAATCCAGGCGAGATGAAACAAATGCATGAATTAACATTTCCATTTCTGGACGGGAAACAATATGGCTAAGTTTGGCGATGTTACACAGATGGTAGAAACGGGAACGAACCAGAGACTTAATATGATTTTCCAGAGTAAAACAAGAGTCAAAAGTTGGCCCAGGATTTCTAACCGAAGACTTAGCTAAATGACCAAGAGGTCCAAGGTTCTGCTTTATCAATGCAGTTGTTTTTTTCTGGAGCAAAGATGATTACTTCAGTTTTCTCGCTGTTCAGCTGAAGAAAACTTTGTCATCCAGCTTTTAACTGAATCCATACAGTTGAGTAAGATGTGTAATTTTGAAACCTCATTTGGAAAAAAGAGATGTACAACTGAATGTCATCAGCATAACAGTGATATGAGATATCCTTAAAAGATGACAGTATTTGACCAAGAGGGAGCAGATAGAGCAAAAACAACAATGGCCCAGAACAGAGCCCTGAGGAATGCCAAAATGAACAGGGCAGGACTGGGATCTGAAAGTAGAGGAAGCCAAGAAGACTGATCTATCGGACAGGTAAGAGGACAACCATTTTAAGGCAGAACCTGAAATACCATCTTTTCCTTCCCTTCACTTCTTTATTAACCCTGGGATCGCTCATTGTGAGCAGCTGAGACAGTGTGATCTATTCTGAACCAGGTTATGAGTCAGATTAGATAAGGCTGGGCCTCCAGAAAGATTAAATTTCTAACAATATAATATGCAAGTTTCACTTTTTGAAAGGAATTACTGAAATAATCAACTTTTTCGTATTCTAATTTTATGACCAGCACCTGTATGTTCCCATACAATGGTGAAATTAGTTATCTGCATTTAACCCATTGCACCTGGAATGCACCCTGGTGGAGCAGTGGGCAGCTGTGTAAGCACCCAGGGAGCAATTAGGGATTGGGGGTCTTGCTCAGACACACCATGACATGTGGGATTGGCTGGGAATCGAGCCTGGGGCTTTCAGGTCCCAGGTCAGCTGCCCTACCTCTACCACATCTCAACCCCTAAATAACCAGTATATAACTGGTATTTAAACAAAATGTTTCACTCTGACCTACTACATGTGACTGTCTGATTTTATCCATTAAAGTTCTGTTTTTGTGAAGTTACAGATGCGTAGAAGACCTCCCCCTCCCCCACACATCCTCACTTCTTACTCAGACTGATTCTTCTGTTCTTGAAGTATACATCTCTGTGCACGCTTCACTGACAGTGTTTTTGTAAAGATCCCTTTTCTGACTGATCTAATCCAAGATATTTAAATTCATATTAATCCACCAGCGCAGTGTGAAGGGGATTTTGTAGATGACGAAACCCCATGTCTGCCATTTTTAAACAGATGAACTTCTGCTTTTCACTGAGCCACTCCCCTCGCCTCACATGGCCACTTCAGTTTGGGTTTGGTTTCTTGAGCAGCTTTTCAGGCCGGGTCGTTTAACGTTCTTTGCCGGGAAGATTACAAATACTTTCAATGATGGGCGAGATTTAGAAATCACTGACTCTTCTGTTCATAACAGAACTGAAACAAGTTGCCACACCTGGGCTTTCCTCAGCTCGTAAAATTCACTGATAAACTGAAAGTTAAGTAAAAACAGGTGGAGTCCAACACATCCGGACGAGTAAGTTTAGTAAGCCGTTTTGATGAGACTGTCTTTGAGTGCCTCTAGTTTTTAGCATCGCTTCACATTTTAGGTTTTTTGTTTTGTAGGGCAGCTTTTCCTGTAACTTTTCAAAGATTCATGTCTGTGACCTGCTCATGGACAGAAACTGGAAGTTGGTTCCACAAGAGAGGAGCCTGATAACTGAAAGATCTTCCTCCCATTCTGCTTTTGGAAACTCTAGGAACCATGAGTAAGCCTGCAGTCTGAGAGTGAAGTGCTCTATTGGAAAAATATGAAACAATTAGATCTCAAATATAAGATGGAGCTAGGTTGTTGAGAGCTTTGTAGGTTAGAAGTAATATTTTGAATTCTATTCTGGATTTGACAGGGAGCCCAAGGAGAGAAGCTAAAACTGGAGAGATATGATCTCTGGCAACAACATTTTGGATCAACTGAAGACGTTTTAAAGAAGTATTTGGACACCCAGATAACAAACCATTGCAGTAGTCCAGTCTAGATGTGACAAATGCATGAACCAGTTTTTATGCATTTTTATATAAGATGTTTCTAATCTTCGTGATATTACGCAGGTGGAAGAAGGCAGTTCTAATAACGTGCTTAATGTGGGGGATAAAAGACATGTCCTGATCAAAAATAACACCAAGATTTTTAACATTAGAGCTGGAGGCCAGATTGATGCCATCTAAGGAGGGAGAAAGACTGAAGAAATGTATTCCTAAGATGCTCGGGTCCAAAAACCATAACCTCAGTCTTGTCTGTGTTCAAAAGCAGAAAATTTAGGGTCATCCATGTTTTTGTCTTTAAGACATGCTTGTAGTCTATGTAGCTGATTGGATTCATTGTGATTCATGGACAAATATAATTGCGTATCATCAGCATAACAATGAAAATTTATCCCATGCTGTTTAATAACTTTACCTAAAATATAAAGTAAAGAGTATTGGTCCAAGCACTGAACCTTGAGGAACTCCATGACTAACTTTGGTGTATGAAGAAGATTCAATATTTACATGTACAAACTGGAATCAGATAATAAAAAAAACTAGCAACACAGTTGAACCTGTGTGGACTTCCCTCTCAGACATGTCCCTTCATGGTTTTTGTATGATATGAGCCTCTAAGCACATTTTCATATTGTCCAGGCGAATATGCCTGTACGCAAATTCAAAGTGATAACACTGTCTGGTGTGTGTGTGTATGTGTGCGTGTGTGTATGTGTGTATGTGCTGGCATGAACCGGACAACACAATAATGATGACGATGGTAAAATTCCACAGAAGATGTGAGTGGGTTTAGAGTTGGTGTTTTGGAGAGTTATCACCGTCCCTCTTTCCTGCTCCTCCTCAGATCCTGAGCGGCGATCATGCAGCACACGTCCTGCACCGAGGACCGGATTCAGCACGCTCTGGACCGGTGTCTGGACGGGCTGAGGCAAAGCCCCACGGCGGCACACCACTGGAACGGTAACACTCATCTTTGACCCAACGTTACCTCTGAATAAAACATTCTGTTAAACTGGATTTTACCGATATTTATCCAAACCGTTTTAAATAAGTCCTCGCTTTTTACACTCATTTATGTCCAGTTTGTGGAAATGCTGCGTTTAAATCCTCAAGACTGACACAGGAACAACTATTCCAGGAGTTCACAAGAAAAAAGGCAACCAAACTATTCAACCCTCAATGATTCACTGGTTTTTCAATTGAGGCTTTGAAATTTTTATTTATTTTTTAAATTTAAACCTTTATTTTATCAGGAAGAAATCCATCGAGATTATTCATCTCTTTTACAAGGATGTCCTGGGAAAACGATTAAAGCGTACAGAGGGATTTTTAACAAGGCTACCATGCTGGAAGAATAGTTTGGGAAGAAAGATGCAGAACATTTTTCTACAAATGTCTGATGAAGCTGATTTTTAGATAGAGGTTCTTTTTTCTTTTTTGATTGCTGCAAAATGTCAGATCTTTGAAATGAATCAGCAAATGACTGAAAGGACTTACCCCAAGCTAAATTTACATTTTGAGATTATCAACGTCTGAATACTGTAGAAAAGGACGTACAGCTCTTTAACGGGAATAAAACACACAAACAAATAAAGTAATAATAAATAAATTAAAGCACCACTGCTAAAATACTTTAGCTCCAAAGACTTTTGACCCAGTTGCTGATTTAATAATGGAAAAACTGCTACATGACCAGAATATCATGTTTTATGCATTAATAACTGCTGTTTTCACATGTTGTAACAGCAATAATGAAAACTTGCCTTTAGAGAATCAGTTTTAAATGTGTTGATGTCTAGATTTCATCTATGGACACCATCTATCCATCCATTATGTTTACCTGCTGCTGCTTATGTTTAGTGACCCACCTTGAAGTTTGTGGCAAAAAAATAAAATAAATAAAATACCAAAGCTACGAAAATAAATATAGAAATTAGGAATTTCCTCAGATGCACAATTGTAACATTTGTTGAAAAAAAAAAAAAAAAATCTACTTTCAAGAAAGGAACCGTTTAAAGATCTGAAGAAATAAAATGTTGGATTTACTTCTTTTAGTTGGTACCAATGAGCCTGGCTGTAAAAAAATATTAAATATTTGAAGGTTTGTCCTTAACAAATTGTTGAAGGACAGCATCCATCCATCCATCCATCCATCATCTTTTACCCGCTTCTTCCTTTTTGGGTCACTGGGGTTTCTGGTGCCCATATCCAGCAGTCAGTGTGCAAGAGGAAGGGGACTCCCTGGACAGGTCTCCAGTCTGTCACAGGGAGACCTGGACAGGTCTCCATTCCATCACAGGGACACCTGGACAGGTCTCCAGTCCATCACAGGGACACCTGGACAGGTCTCCAGTCCATCACAGGGACACCTGGACAGGTCTCCAGTCCATTACAAGGACACAAAGAGACAAACAACCATTCACTCCCTCACTTACACCTACGGACAGTTACCAGTCAGCCTAACATGCATGTTTTTTGGTCTGTGGGAGGAAACCCACACGGCATGGAAAAAACATGCAAACTCCGAGGGCACCCAGCTAGGATTTGATCCAGCGACCTCCTTGCTGAGAATCATCAGCTCTATCAACTGAGCCACCGTGCCACCTCGAGGTTGGCAGTGGATTCAAAGTCTCTCAAAAGCAGAAGGAACAAGACTGATTTAATGTATTTTTGTTACATTATCGCAACAAAACTGGTTTATTTTGACGTTAAAAGTTCACCAAAAGTTTTGGAATCAATCTGTCTGTCAAACAACACCCTAATATTGTTTTTTTTTTGTGTGCAGTTTTGACTTATATTGGTTTTAAATTAGTTGTTTTTTGGATATTTGTGGGGAATTTGTTCTCAACATGTGAGCTTATTTTAGCTGGCGTTCTTGTATTTTACATTCTGGATCAGAGAGACATCATCTTTCTGGACACCAGTTTGACCAGAACGGTCATTAATCTCAGTAATTATACACATTAACTTGTTTTGCTGTGACTAAATGTCTAAAAGTCAGATTTATTTACTTTCCTGCAGGTTGTTTTTTTGGTTTGTGGTAAAACTGCTGTGTATTATTGTAAATCTGTTTGCTGTATTGCTGAATATCAGTTGTGATAAATCCACTGGCTGTGGGCATTTAGAGGCCTGGGGGTCATCTTATTGCAGTTTAAGTCTGCAGTTTAACATTGCAGCATTAATAAACACATTTTGTTTTGCAGTTGTAGTTTGTGGCTGCGTTCTGTATGAAGAAGTGTGTCGTGTTTCTCAGAACCTGTCATTGCCGTGCTCGTTCAGGTTTCCTCAGCACACATTTAGATTTAGTACTTACTGTTTACTGTGGTGATTCTGACAGTTTGAAGTATTTTAGCAGCAGCACGGTGCGTGGCAGACAATATGAGCGCAGAGGTGTTTGAGTGTGTTGTTGGCGACACTGTTGCTCGCACATGAGCCATGTTGGGCGATGGAGGAAGTTGTGTGAAGTCGACAGCTGGTGAGGAAGTGGTGACACCGACCACAGCGTGTAGAGAGGCATCAAGAGGCTGGAGGAACGGTGGCGCAGGCCAAGAATGAAAACAGGGCATAGGTTGCATCAGCAACAGCACGTCAACAAGTACCGCACACAATGATACGAAAGGCTAGAAGTGTGTTTATTTATTTCACCCTGATAGAGATTAAAAGATTTAGATACAAGCTGAAACTTTGACGTGTTTTCTGGTTTCCTGTTTTCCTCGTGACAAACATTAGGGTGTGTGTTTGCTGAGGGCGGGATCTTTATAATCCAGGATTCTTCTTAAAGTGACAGTTTGGATATTTTGAAGTGGGGTTTTGTGGAAAGGTTTGAAACAATATTATCTTACCTGTTGGAGATAGCTCATCAGTCCAGTCTGTGGAGCGAACGACTAGTCTGAGCACAGCAAACACTATTTTATAAACTTTTACATCACTGTCGATTTGTAATTTTCATCAAGTATTCTGGTTATTTTCCCTTGCAAATAAGAGCAGCAGCTAGCTTTAGCACTTCCTGCAGGAATGACAGTGTAATACAAAGTTGACAGTCATGTGAAGGTTTAACAAATAGCTTGGATGTTAAATCACATAGAGGTTTTTCCAGTAAAAAGTTGTTTTAAATCGGCTTCACGATAACTAGCCCATAGCTCATCAGTTTGATAAGATTTCTCCAAACTGAGGTTGTTTGAAGAGCTATATGCAGCAGGTTAGATACTAATTGTTCATGACCCTTTCCACAAAACACATTTCAAAGAATCAAAACTATCCCTTTAAAAGTTCTAGCATAATAAAATTTGCATTTCGAACATTCAAAAGTAAGAGAAACATAAAAAAACAGTTTATGGTAATTCACCTTTAGAGCTTCTCGGTGAAAAGATGTCATGCAAATGGGTCTGAGATGTCAGATAATCCTAGCTTTAGTCAAACTTCTCAGCAGTTTATGGCTCTCCTAAAAATCTTTGGATGAAGGACAAAATGTCTCAATAAAAAATTTTTTTTAAAAAGAAACCGTCCAGATGACCTGACTGAACTTTGTTGGGTTTCCTTAAAATCATTTAGTTAACATCAACAGCTGCTGAAGTGTTGCTTCATGCAGATGTACTCTTAGAAAGTTATTGACAACAAGGGAAACGTGAGGTGTTTTCACAACTCTGTAGTTTTTACATGACAGACCTCAGCTGCGTGGTTTGAAAAATCGTGTACATGCTTCTTTTTTTCTTTTTTTTTTTGTCTACCTCAAGTTTCTCTTTTACACAAGTAGGCGGAGCTAAATTTCAATTTAATATGTCAATTGTAAAAACAAAACAAAAACATGTTAAAAAAAAAACAAAAAAAACTTTAATCTAACAAGTCCGATGATCTGTTTAGTTATTCCTATAGTTGAGTTTTTATTTTGAAATATTTTAGCTCCTAAAGACTTTTAAACCTCAACCTACATTTTTTTTTAACAACAGGAAATGCTTCCTGTCATTTGTATTTACAGAGACATTTTAGCTGAACCACTGAACAAGAGGTGATGAATCACACCCTTGAAGCACATTGACCACGACAGTTACTGTGACACTCGATAACCTAATAAAACAAAGCCTTTGTACACTTACAGTAGATGGAAGTACTCATTTCAAACAAGTGTAACTGTGTTACTGTCTCAACCCATTTACTCACCATTACAGATCCTTTTTTGCTACTGCATTACTTTAATTCAGATAACTCTCTGGTTTGTGGTGTACCTCATAGGTGTGTTCTTGGCCCTAAGCTGTTTATAAGACTTTGTTACGGTCTTTATTTAAAGTAACTCACTATGATCATCGCCTGCCTCCATGAAAGGCTGGTGATCATGTAATCCTGTGTGTGTGTGTTAATTAGTCTGTTAGCAAAATATCCCATAAACCACTGTACGACTCAAATCAGATTTTGAGCTAAAATCTTCCATGGTCGTAGCTGAATCTCATTCTCAACACATACTCTAAGCATTAACAAACCACACAAGCATTCTTTGAACATACACTAATTTATTTTGTTTTGTTTATCCTCCTGCTAGTGCTCTTGTGGATGTTGGTATTGTTCATATCACACGAGAGCCATAAGTTATCCTGGCATACTCCATGTCTTCAAACATAAATACAGCTAGGAATACCTGAATAAAAGTATGTGTTTAATTAATAAAATAAAATAAAAAGTCCTAACAATTCTGTTATAGGGTATAAGCCTTCTTAGCTTGGTAGAGATTCCTGAGTGGCACTAGTGGATGTGATTGGTCCATAGAAACGTATATTGATTGGCTGAGCCCCCTTCAGCACTTGCATTATTAAAGCTACATGCCTTCTGCTACAGAAGCTACTTAGCTGTCAACTTTGTCCACTGTGATGTGCTCTTCTTTGAACATGTGCAGCACAAAGTAAATTGATTTGCTGAATGAGCCTTTCCTCCTAGAACTCCTTCTCAATGTTTGTAGCATTCTTTCAAAC